TTTTTTTTCAAGTTTTCCGTTTCCAGCAAAGCGGTTGATACGGGCGTATCGGCGGCAACTAACATGGAGTATGACTAATGCTGTTGAAACAAAAGCGAAAGCACTGTAAGATAAACTAAGACAAAGGTTTTTTTAATCCTCTTAGTTTCGTTGTTCTTCCTGGGGTTTATACTTCCATGTGTAAATGTAGTACTTTCTGTTTGTTTCTCAGGCAGCCTTGGATGATACCCAAATTGTACCACTATCCCTCGGTATACAAGATTGCGATGTTATTGAAAAAGAAATAAATACTGTGAAAGTCAATTCAGAATCATCAGGTACTGAAACTTGAACTTTATAAAGGGTTTGTTTTTATACTTTAATGTATATATGCTGTTGTTGATGATTTTTATATGTTTATTGTTTCACTACTGGTATAGTTGTGTTCTCTTTTGTTTAGGTTTAAGCTCAATCTTATTAAAATAAGATCCTAGTTTTGGCTTTTTTTTTTGTATATTTATTTTATTTTATTTTGATCTAGTATTTATTTTTTGAAGTTTTGGTAATTGCGAAATTAAAAAAAAATTAAAAAATCAAAATCAAAGTAAAATAATAAATAAAAAGACATTAATAACAAAAGTACTAAAAAATAAAATAAAAATATATTTATAGCCAAAATAATTAAAGCCTGTACACTACATCAGATTTTTATCAGATTGTATGTAGGGTGGAATTAAAAAAAATATCCTAAAATCAAAATCAAAGTAAAATAATTAAAATAAAAAGGCATTAATAACAAAAGTAATAAAAAATACAATAAAAATAAGTTTATAGCCAAAATAATTAAATAAAGCCCGTACACTACATCAGATTGTAATCAGATTGGGTTTAAGCTCTGTAGTTGTCATGTTGGTAATTCATGGATTTGTCCAAATATGCATATTTTACCTCATTGCACAATTTTGTCACAAATTACCAAGATGCTGATATCAAATCTTAACTGACAAATTACGGATATAAAATTTGAAGTGCTATTTTAGCTGGATTTCTGTAAGAGAAACTGACAAAAAGGTGAACCTAAAATATGCACTCCCACTACAAAGTATTGATTTGTAAAATGTAATGCAGTAGAGACACAGTTTTTAGAACTTTTATAAATTTTATATGGTGAAAATATATTTTTCCGAGCCAACATGAAATGATAAAAGAAAATTCATACTGTGAGATGATAAAGGTCATTTGATTACTCTAATTGTTTGTAATGTTTTCACTTGCCATGCAGTTGCTACAATGTTGAACATGCTTCTTTTGTATTGAATTGAATTTATACTTGAATGCTGCTTTATTTGATTGTTTTAAATAACCGGTAGAGTTTTATAGAAAAAATCAGCCATTTGGTACTTTCTCTTCAGAAAGAGTTCTATAGAACTCATTAGAGTTGTATAGAACCTGTTGTGCTACTGTGGAATACTTTATTTTCACTGGAATTAATTTTCGCTGAAAAGGCTTTTCGGGCGTTTTGTATGAAATTTATTTTCACTGATTTTCAATGAGTTGAATGTGAAATATAGGGAAAAAAGTATATTCGCTGGATTTTATTTTCACGGAATCACCCCTTCAGC